CCGAAGACGTACCGGCGAGGGCGGCGCCGATGAGCGCGGCCTTGAAGCCTTGGTCCATCGCGGCGATGGAAGGGACGGCGACCATGGTTTGTGTACTTGTGCGTGGGCGGCCGAGCGCCGGTCCCAGAATGATGATCTTTTGAAAGACAGCAAATAGTGTGGTCCACCGTGTTGCCACACGACGACGCGCGTATACATCACCAATCCGACGCCCAACGAGCGTCGCGCTTGCATGCGTTGAGCGCTGGCGCTGCATGCCCACCGTGTCGTACCGGCGGTGACGACAGAATATACTATGGAACGCCGACCAGTTGACGGATATAGTGTGTAGACAGGCGCGTCTCCGTGGCGCCGCGCGCGGTGGCGCCGACCAGACAGACGACGCAAACACGCCGTTGGTCTCGAAACACATCTAGTATACGAGTGTGTAGGGTCCTAGTTTTTTCTATTACAAGTGGCGGGGTCTGGTGGGCACAAAGGGTGGGGACAACGAGAATGACAGAGAGCGCGGTTTGGCGGCGTGGGAACGTACGACGCAAGGAGCGTAGTAGGTTGACGTTAGAAGTGCGTCGGCGCGACAAAGACGATGGTGCCGGGCACCTGTAGCACGCCATCGAGCGCCACGAGCGTCGCGTCGTCCGTGTCTGCGACGAAGGCAATGTCGCCAAGTTCAAAGAACTGGTCGCTGGGAAGATGGGATGCGCAGCATCCGGAGGCGTCGTCGAGCGCGGGGCAGTCGCAGCCGACCACGGAGCACGGTTGCATCTCGACACCTTGGTCGCACGTGAAGAAATGACCGAGTTTGCTTTTGCCCGCGCTCACTGCCAGCTGGTGTGCCCGCCAGGTGGTGGTGCCAGGTGGAAACCCACACGAGTGGTGCCACGACAGCCATGATCGCCGCTCGCCGTGGAAAGGTTGAAGTGACCGAGGATGTGCCGATCGTATTATTAATACCATACTATTACTCGGTGGCCTGTTGTCGGTCCATCTCTGAAGCCGACGAAAGCGAACAGCGAGCGATGCCGCTTTCGAGGTCGGACAGTCCAGTCGCCATATCTCGGCGAGTCTGGGACGTTTCGGTACATATGAAGCGCACATCGCAACGTGTCGATGCTGTTTTACACCCTCGTAATAACTGGTCTTCAACGCGAATGCGTGGCTCGTACGCCTCCTGAAAAGAAACCGTAGGTGCACGGGCCCTCTTTGGAAACACCGCCGACACCGCTGAGCCAGTTAACCACCGTGAGTGGATTTATTTCTACATGGGATGGGTTTTTGAATCCATGCAGCCGTGCATTCCCTTGCGTGCCCGTTGTAGCAACTGGACACTTGTACCATGTACTACGACGACACGCTTCGTATTGACGACTTGTGCACGACGTGGGATTTTTTTATATATATATCGACCGCGAGACGTGTCGTGACCTCGAGACCTCGAGGCGGTTTGTTGAAGCAAGGAAATCGAGAAAATGTGTCTTTATTTCCTTGGTTGAACCAAGTACGACGAGCATTCTAGGGCATCGGAAGGTAGCACGATAGCGCCGATCACCAAGCATACGCGTGCGTAGGTGTGAAAGCCCGTTGGATGCTCGTCGTCATATTATTACAATGTGTGCAACCAGTCAGTCACCTATATGCGTCTCCATATACATTACATCACATGATGCACACGCGACGGCGACAGCGATCATCCACTACGACGCTAAGTAGATCACATTGAAAGTGCACCAATGGGGCTCGATGCTGTGGCGCGGTGAATCGGCCACGAGACTAGAGCTTGAGACGAGTA